GTTGTAGATGGCGATGCTGTTGTGGTTGGCGATGTTGAAGATGTTGTTGAAGATATTGTTGAAGCTGTTGTTGGAAAAGTGGTTGTAGTTGGGGTATATGTTGTTTGTGACACTATTGTGGTTGGAGATATTGTTGTGATTATGTCGGTGTATTTGTGGTGGATTGTGAAGTTGATTGGGTGGTAGTATCCAATGTTGTAGTTGGTGTGGTTTTCTGCGGTGTGGTTGTTGTCAAATTTACAGTGGTTGTCTCTGTTGTCGGTATATTTGTGGTGGATTGTGAAGTTGATTGGGTGGAAGTTTGCAGTGTTGTGGTGGGTGTGGTTGTCTGCAGTGTGGTTGTTGTCAAATGTACAGTGGTTGCCTCCGTTGTTGTTGGCGTTTTTGTGGTGGCTTGTGAAGTTGTGGTAGGGGCTTGGGTGATTGCTTCTGTGATTCTGGTAGATTGTTCTGATGAAGTCGATAGTGTGGTGGCTTGATGTGTTGTGGTTGTCTGCGGTGTGGTTGTTGTCAAATGTACGGTGGTTGTGTCTGTTGTCGGTGTATTGTGGTTGTTTGTGAAGTTGATTGGGTGAGAGTTTCTTTTGTTGTGGTTGGCGTGGTAGTTTGCGGTGTGGTTGTTGTTAATTTTACAGTGTTGTCTCTGTGTTGTCGGTGTATTTGCGGTGGATTGTGAAGTTGTGGTAGGGGCTTGGGTGATTGCTTCTGTGATTCTGGTAGATTGTTCTGTTGAAGTCGATAGGGTGGTGACTTCCTTTGTTGTAGTTGCCTGCGGAGTGGTAGTTGTCAGTTCTGTAGTGGCTGTCTGTGTTGGAGGTGCAGTTGTGGTGGATTGTGTGGTTGAAGTCAATAGGGTGGTGACTTCCTTAGTTGTGGTTGCCTGCGGAGTGGTAGTTGTCAATTCTCTAGTGGCTGTTGCAGGTGCAGTTGTGGTGGATTGTGCTGTTGAAGTCGATAGGGTGGTGACTTCCTTTGTTGTGGTTGCCTGCGGAGTGGTAGATGTCAATTCTGTAGTGGCTGTTGTAGGTGCAGTTGTGGGGATTGTGCTGTTGAAGTTGATAGGGTGGTGACTTCCTTTGTTGTGGTTGCCTGGAGTGGTAGTTGTCAATTCTGAAGTGGCTGTTATGGTGCAGTTGTGGTGGATTGTGCTGTTGAAGTCGATAGGGTGGTGACTTCCTTTGTTGTGGTTGCCTGCGGAGTGGTAGTTGTCAATTCTGAAGTGGCTGTTGAGGTGCAGTTGTGGTGGATTGTGCTGTTGAAGTGATAGGGTGGTGACTTCCTTTGTTGTGGTTGCCTGCGGAGTGTAGTTGTCAATTCTGTAGTGGCTGTTGTAGGTGCAGTTGTGGTGGATTGTGCTGTTGAAGTGATAGGGTGGTGACTTCCTTTTTGTGGTTGCCTGGAGTGGTAGTTGTCAATTCTGAAGTGGCTGTTGCAGGTGCAGTTGTGGTGGATTGTGTTGAAGTCGATAGGGTGGTGACTTCCTTTGTTGTAGTTGCCTGCGGAGTGTAGTTGTCAATTCTGAAGTGGCTGTTGTAGGTGCAGTTGTGGTGGATTGTGCTGTTGAAGTCGATAGGGTGGTGACTTCCTTGTTGTAGTTCCTGCGGAGTGGTAGTTGTCAATTCTGTAGTGGCTGTTGTAGGTGCAGTTGTGGTGGATTGTGCTGTTGAAGTGATAGGGTGACTTCCTTTGTTGTGGTTGCCTGCGGAGTGGTAGTTGTCAATTCTAAGTGGCTGTTGTAGGTGCAGTTGTGGTGGATTGTGCTGTTGAAGTCGATAGGGTGGTGACTTCCTTTGTTGTGGTTGCCTGTGGAGTGGTAGATGTCAATTCTGTAGTGGCTGTTGTAGGTGCAGTTGTGGTGGATTGTGCTGTTGAAGTTGATAGGGTGGTGACTTCCTTTGTTGTAGTTGCCTGTGGAGTGTAGTTGTCAATTCTGAAGTGGCTGTTGTAGGTGCAGTTGTGGTGGATTGTGCTGTTGAAGTCGATGGTGGTGACTTCAGTGTTGGTTGCCTGGAGTGGTAGTTGTCAATTTGAAGTGGCTGTTGTAGGTGCAGTTGTGGTGGATTGTGCTGTTGAAGTCGATAGGTGGTGACTTCCTTTTGTGGTTGCCTGCGGAGTGGTAGTTGTCAATTCTGTAGTGGTGTTGTAGGTGCAGTTGTGGTGGATTGTGCTGTTGAAGTGATAGGGTGGTGACTTCCTTGTGTGTTGCCTGCGGAGTGTAGTTGTCAATTCTGAAGTGGATGTTGCAGGTGCAGTTGTGGTGGATTGTGCTGTTGAAGTCGATAGGGTGGTGACTTCCTTAGTTGTGGGTTGCCTGCGGAGTGGTCGTTGTCAATTCTGTAGTGGCTGTTGTAGTGCAGTTGTGGTGGATTTGTGCTGTTGAAGTCGATAGGGTGGTGACTTCCTTAGTTGTGGTTGCCTGCGGAGTGGTAGTTGTCAATTCTGTAGTGGCTGTTGTAGGTACAGTTGTGGTGGATTGTGCTGTTGAAGTTGATAGGGTGGGTGACTTCCTTTGTTGTGGTTGCCTGCGGAGGTGGTAGTTGTCAATTCTAAAAGTGGCTGTTGTAGGTGCAGGTTGTGGTGGATTTGTGCTGTTGAAGTCGATAGGGTGGTGACTTCCTTTGTTGTGGTTGCCTGCAGAGTGGTAGATGTCAATTCGGTAGTGGCTGTTGTAGGTGCAGTTGTGGTGGATTGTGCTGTTGAAGTCGATAGGGTGGTGACTTCCTTTGTTGTGGTTGCCTGCGGAGTGGTCGTTGTCAATTCTGTAGTGGCTGTTGTAGGTTGCAGTTGTGGTGGATTGTGCTGTTGAAGTTGATAGGGTGGTGACTTCCTTAGTTGTGGTTGCCTGCGCAGTGGTAGTTGTCAATTGTGAAGTGGCTGTTGTAGGTGCAGTTGTGGTGGATGGTGCTGTTGAAGTCGATATGGTGGTGACTTCCTTTGTTGTAGTTGCCTGTGGAGTGGTAGTTGTCAATTCTGAAGTGGCTGTTGTAGGTGCAGTTGATGTGGATTGTGCTGTTGAAGGTCGATAGGGTGGTGACTTCCTTTGTTGTGGTTGCCTGTGGAGTGGTAGTTGTTAATTCTGAAGTGGCTGTTGTACGTGCAGTTGTGGTGGATTGTGCTGTTGAAGTCGATAGGGTGGTGACTTCCTTTGTTGTGGTTGCCTGCGGAGTGGTCGTTGTCAATTCTGTAGTGGCTGTTGTAGGTGCAATTGATGTGGATTGTGCTGTTGAAATTGATAGGGTGGTGACTTCCTTTGTTGTGGTTGCCTGCGGAGTGGTAGTTGTCAATTCTGAAGTGGCTGTTGTAGGTGCAGTTGTGGTGGATTGTGCTGTTGAAGTCGATAGGGTGGTGACTTCCTTTGTTGTGGTTGCCTGTGGAGTGGTAGATGTCAATTCTGTAGTGGCTGTTGTAGGTGCAGTTGTGGTGGATTGGGCTGTTGAAGTCGATAGGGTGGTGACTTCCTTTGTTGTGGTTGCCTGCGGAGTGGTAGATGTCAATTCTGTAGTGGTTGTTGTAGGTGCAGTTGTGGTGGATTGTGCTGTTGAAGTTGATAGGGTGGTGACTTCTTTTGTTGTGGTTGCCTGCGGAGTCGTAGTTGTCAATTCTGTAGTGGCTGTTGTAGGTGCAGTTGTGGTGGATTGTGCTCTTGAAGTTGATAGGGTGGTGACTTCCTTTGTTGTAGTTGCCTGTGGAGTTATAGTTGTCAATTTTGAAGTGGGTGTTGTAGGTGCAGTTGTGGTGGATTGTGCTGTTGAAGTCAATATGGTGGTGACTTCCTGTGTTGTAGTTGCCTGTGGAGTGGTAGTTGTCAATTCTGAAGTGGCTGTTGTAGGTGCAGTTGTGTAGGATTGTGCTGTTGAAGTTGATAGGGTGGTGACTTCCTTTGTTGTGGTTGCCTGCGGAGTGGTCGTTGTCAATTCTGTAGTGGCTGTTGTAGGTGCAGTTGATGTGGATTGTGCTGTTGAAGTTGATAGGGTGGTGACTTCCTTTGTTGTGGTTGCCTGCGGAGTGGTAGTTGTCAATTCTGAAGTGGCTGTTGTAGGTGCAGTTGTGGTGGATTGTGCTGTTGAAGTTGATAGCGTGGTGACTATCTTTGTTGTGGTTGCCTGCGGAGTGGTATATGTCAATTCTGAAGTGGCTGTTGTAGGTGCAGTTGTGGTGGATTGTGTTGTTGAAGTCGATAGGGTGGTGACTTCCTTTGTTGTAGTTGTCTTTGGAGTTGTAGTTTTCAATTCTGAAGTTGCTGTTGTAGGTGCAGTTGTGGTGGATTGTGCTGTTGAAGTTGATAGGGTGGTGACTTCCTTTGTTGTAGTTGCCTGTGGAGTTGTAGTTGTCAATTCTGAAGTGGCTGTTGTCGGTGCAGTTGTGGTGGATTGTGGTGTTGAAGTTGATAGGGTGGTGACTTCCTTTGTTGTGGTTGCCTGCGGAGTGGTAGTTGTCAATTCTGTAGTGGCTGTTGTAGGTGCAGTTGTGGTGGATTGTGCTGTTGAAGTTGATAGGGTGGTGACTTCCTTTGTTGTGGTTGCCTGCGGAGTGGTAGTTGTCAATTCTGAAGTGGCTGTTGTAGGTGCAGTTGTGGTGGATTGTGTTGTTGAAGTCAATAGGGTGGTGACTTCCTTTGTTGTGGTTGCCTGCGGAGTGATAGTTGTCAATTCTGAAGTGGCTGTTGTAGGTGCAGTTGTGGTGGATTGTGCTGTTGAAGTCGATAGGGTGGTGACTTCCTTTGTCGTGGTTGCCTGCAGAGTGGTAGATGTCAATTCGGTAGTGGCTGTTGTAGGTGCAGTTGTGGTGGATTGTGCTGTTGAAGTCGATAGGGTGGTGACTTCCTTTGTTGTGGTTGCCTGCGGAGTGGTCGTTGTCAATTCTGTAGTGGCTGTTGTAGGTGCAGTTGTGGTGGATTGTGCTGTTGAAGTTGATAGGGTGGTGACTTCCTTAGTTGTGGTTGCCTGCGCAGTGGTAGTTGTCAATTGTGAAGTGGCTGTTGTAGGTGCAGTTGTGGTGGATTGTGCTGTTGAAGTCGATATGGTGGTGACTTCCTTTGTTGTAGTTGCCTGTGGAGTGGTAGTTGTCAATTCTGAAGTGGCTGTTGTAGGTGCAGTTGATGTGGATTGTGCTGTTGAAGTCGATAGGGTGGTGACTTCCTTTGTTGTGGTTGCCTGTGGAGTGGTAGTTGTTAATTCTGAAGTGGCTGTTGTACGTGCAGTTGTGGTGGATTGTGCTGTTGAAGTCGATAGGGTGGTGACTTCCTTTGTTGTGGTTGCCTGCGGAGTGGTCGTTGTCAATTCTGTAGTGGCTGTTGTAGGTGCAATTGATGTGGATTGTGCTGTTGAAATTGATAGGGTGGTGACTTCCTTTGTTGTGGTTGCCTGCGGAGTGGTAGTTGTCAATTCTGAAGTGGCTGTTGTAGGTGCAGTTGTGGTGGATTGTGCTGTTGAAGTCGATAGGGTGGTGACTTCCTTTGTTGTGGTTGCCTGTGGAGTGGTAGATGTCAATTCTGTAGTGGCTGTTGTAGGTGCAGTTGTGGTGGATTGGGCTGTTGAAGTCGATAGGGTGGTGACTTCCTTTGTTGTGGTTGCCTGCGGAGTGGTAGATGTCAATTCTGTAGTGGTTGTTGTAGGTGCAGTTGTGGTGGATTGTGCTGTTGAAGTTGATAGGGTGGTGACTTCTTTTGTTGTGGTTGCCTGCGGAGTCGTAGTTGTCAATTCTGTAGTGGCTGTTGTAGGTGCAGTTGTGGTGGATTGTGCTCTTGAAGTTGATAGGGTGGTGACTTCCTTTGTTGTAGTTGCCTGTGGAGTTATAGTTGTCAATTTTGAAGTGGGTGTTGTAGGTGCAGTTGTGGTGGATTGTGCTGTTGAAGTCAATATGGTGGTGACTTCCTGTGTTGTAGTTGCCTGTGGAGTGGTAGTTGTCAATTCTGAAGTGGCTGTTGTAGGTGCAGTTGTGTAGGATTGTGCTGTTGAAGTTGATAGGGTGGTGACTTCCTTTGTTGTGGTTGCCTGCGGAGTGGTCGTTGTCAATTCTGTAGTGGCTGTTGTAGGTGCAGTTGATGTGGATTGTGCTGTTGAAGTTGATAGGGTGGTGACTTCCTTTGTTGTGGTTGCCTGCGGAGTGGTAGTTGTCAATTCTGAAGTGGCTGTTGTAGGTGCAGTTGTGGTGGATTGTGCTGTTGAAGTTGATAGCGTGGTGACTATCTTTGTTGTGGTTGCCTGCGGAGTGGTATATGTCAATTCTGAAGTGGCTGTTGTAGGTGCAGTTGTGGTGGATTGTGTTGTTGAAGTCGATAGGGTGGTGACTTCCTTTGTTGTAGTTGTCTTTGGAGTTGTAGTTTTCAATTCTGAAGTTGCTGTTGTAGGTGCAGTTGTGGTGGATTGTGCTGTTGAAGTTGATAGGGTGGTGACTTCCTTTGTTGTAGTTGCCTGTGGAGTTGTAGTTGTCAATTCTGAAGTGGCTGTTGTCGGTGCAGTTGTGGTGGATTGTGGTGTTGAAGTTGATAGGGTGGTGACTTCCTTTGTTGTGGTTGCCTGCGGAGTGGTAGTTGTCAATTCTGTAGTGGCTGTTGTAGGTGCAGTTGTGGTGGATTGTGCTGTTGAAGTTGATAGGGTGGTGACTTCCTTTGTTGTGGTTGCCTGCGGAGTGGTAGTTGTCAATTCTGAAGTGGCTGTTGTAGGTGCAGTTGTGGTGGATTGTGTTGTTGAAGTCAATAGGGTGGTGACTTCCTTTGTTGTGGTTGCCTGCGGAGTGATAGTTGTCAATTCTGAAGTGGCTGTTGTAGGTGCAGTTGTGGTGGATTGTGCTGTTGAAGTTGATAGGGTGGTGACTTCCTTTGTCGTGATTGCCTGCGGAGTGGTAGTTGTCAATTCTGTAGTTGCTATTGTAGGTGCAGTTGTGGTGGATTGTGCTGTTGAAGTTGATAGGGTAGTGACTTCCTTTGTTGTAGTTGCCTGTGGAGTTGTAGTTGTCAATTCTGAAGTTGCTGTTGTAGGTGCAGTTGTGGTGGATTGTGCTGTTAAAGTCGATAGGGTGGTGACTTCCTTTGTTGTAGTTGCCTGTGGAGTTGTAGTTGTCAATTCTGAAGTGGCTGTTGTAGGTGCAGTTATGGTGGATTGTGCAGTTGAAGTTGATAGGGTGGTGACTTCCTTTGTTGTAGTTGCCTGTGGAGTTGTAGTTGTCAATTCTGAAGTGGCTGTTGTAGGTGCAGTTGAGGTGGATTGTGCTGTTGAAGTCGATAGGATGGTGACTTCCTTTGTTGTGGTTGCCTGAGGAGTGGTAGTTGTCAATTCTGAAGTGGCTGTTGTAGGTGCAGTTGTGGTGGATTGTGCTGTTGAAGTCGATAGGGTGCTGACTTCCTTTGTTGTAGTTGCCTGTGGAGTTGTAATTGTCAATTTTGAAGTGGGTGTTGTAGGTGCAGTTGTGGTGGATTGTGCTGTTGAAGTCGATAGGGTGGTGACTTCCTCAGTTGTGGTTGCCTGTGGAGTGGTAGTTGTCAATTCTGAAGTGGCTGTTGTAAGTGGGGTTGTGGTGGATTGTGCTGTTGAAGTCGATAGGGTGGTGACTTCCTTTGTTGTGGTTTCCTGCGGAGTGGTAGATGTCAATTCTGTTGTGGCTATTGTAGTTGCAGTTGTGGTGGATTGTGCAGTTGAAGTCGATAGGGTGGTGACTTCCTTTGTTGTGGTTGCCTGTGGAGTTGTAGTTGTCAATTCTGTAGTGACTGTCTGTGTTGTAGGTGCAGTTTTGGAGGATTGTGCTGTTGAAGTCGATAGGGTAGTGACTTCCTCAGTTGTGGTTGCCTGTGGAGTGGTAGTTGTCAATTCTGAAGTGGCTGTTGTAAGTGGGGTTGTGGTGGATTGTGCTGTTGAAGTCGATAGGGTGGTGACTTCCTTTGTTGTGGTTTCCTGCGGAGTGGTAGATGTCAATTCTGTTGTGGCTATTGTAGTTGCAGTTGTGGTGGATTGTGCTGTTGAAGTCGATAGGGTGGTGACTTCCTTTGTTGTGGTTGCCTGTGGAGTTGTAGTTGTCAATTCTGTAGTGGCTGTCTGTGTTGTAGGTGCAGTTTTGGTGGATTGTTCTGTTGAAGTTGAAAGGGTGGTGACTTCCTTTGTTGTGGTTGCCTGTGGCGTGGTAGTTGTCAATTCTGTAGTGGCTGTCTGTGTTGTAGGTGCACTTGTGGTAGATTGTTCTGTTGAAGTTGAAAGGGTGGTGACTTCCTTTGTTGTGGTTGCCTGTGGAATGGTAGTTGTTAATTCTGTAGTGGCTCTTTGTGTTGTAGGTGCAGTTGTTGTGGATTGTGCTGTTGAAGTTAATAGGGTTGTGACTTCCTTTGTTGTGGTTGCCTGCGGAGTGGTAGTTGTCAATTCTGAAGTGGCTGTTGTAGGTGCAGTTGTGGTGGATTGTGCTGTTGAAGTTGATAGGGTGGTGACTTCCTTTGTTGTGGTTGCCTGCAGAGTGGTAGTTGTCAATTCTGTAGTGGCTGTCTGTGTTGTAGGTGCAGTTGTGGTGGATTGTTCTGTTGAAGTTGATAGGGTGGTGACTTCCTTTGTTGTAGTTTCCTGCGGAGTGGTTGATGTCAATTCTGTAGTGGCTGTCTGTGTTGTTGGTGCAGTTGTGGTGGATTGTTCTGTTGATGTCGATAGGGTGGTGACTTCCTTTGTTGTAGTTGCCTGCGGAGTGGTAGTTGTCAATTCTGTAGTGGCTGTTGTAGGTGCAGTTGTGTTGGATTGTTTAGTTGAAGTTGATAGGGTGGTGACTTCCTTTGTTGTGGTTGCCTGCAGAGTGGTAGTTGTCAATTCTGTAGTGGTTGTCTGTGTTGTTGGTGCAGTTGTGGTGGATTGTTCTGTTGATGTCAATAGTGTGGTGACTTCCTTTGTTGTAGTTGCCTGCGGAGTGGTAGTTGTCAATTCTGAAGTGGCTGTTGTAGGGGCAGTTGTGGTGGATTGTTCTGTTGAAGTTGATAGGGTGGCGCCTTCCTTTGTTGTGGTTGCCTGCGGAGTGGTAGTTGTTAATTCTGTAGTGGCTGTCTGTGTTGTAGGTGCAGTTGTTGTGAATTGTGCTGTTGAAGTTGATAGGGTTGTGACTTCCTTTGTTGCGGTTGCCTGTGGAGTGGTAGTTGTCAATTCTGAAGTGGCTGTTGTAGGTGCAGTTGTGGTGGATTGTTCTGTTGAAGTTGATAGGGTGGTGACTTCCTTTGTTGTGGTTGCCTGCGGAGTGGTAGTTGTCAATTCTGTAGTGGCTGTCTGTGTTGGAGGTGCAGTTGTGGTGGATTGTTCTGTTGAAGTTGATAGGGTGGTGACTTCCTTTATTGTAGTTGCCTGCGGAGTGGTAGTTGTCAATTCTGAAGTGGCTGTTGTAGGTGCAGTTGTGGTGGATTGTTCTGTTGAAGTTGATAGGGTGGTGACTTCCTTTGTTGTGGTTGCCTGCGGAGTGGTAGTTGTCAATTCTGTAGTTGCTGTCTGTGTTGTAGGTGCAGTTGTGGTGGATTGTTCTGTTGAATTTGATAGTGTGGTGACTTCCTTTGTTGTGGTTGCCTGCGGAGTTGTAGTTGTCAATTCTGTAGTGGCTGTCTGTGTTGTTGGTGCAGTTGTGGTGGATTTTTCTGTTGAAGTTAAAAGGGTGGTGACTTCCTTTGTTGTGGTTGCCTGTGGTGTGGTAGTTGTCAATTCTGTAGTGGCTGTCTGTGTTGTAGGTGCAGTTGTGGTGGATTGTTCTGTTGAAGTTGATAGGGTGGTGACTTCCTTTGTTGTGGTTGCCTGCGGAGTGGTTGATGTCAATTCTGTAGTGGCTGTCTGTGTTGTTGATGCAGTTGTGGTGGATTGTTCTGTTGATGTCGATAGGGTGGTGACTTCCTTTGTTGTAGTTGCCTGCGGAGTGGTAGTTGTCAATTCTGTAGTGGCTGTTGTAGGTGCAGTTGTGGTGGATTGTTCTGTTGAAGTTGATAGGGTGGTCACTTCCTTTGTTGTGGTTGCCTGCGGAGTGGTAGTTGTCAATTCTGTATTGGCTGTCTGTGTTGTTGGTGCAGTTGTGGTGGATTGTTCTGTTGATGTCAATAGGGTGGTGACTTCCTTTATTGTAGTTGCCTGCGGAGTGGTAGTTGTCAATTCTGTAGTGGCTGTTGTAGGTGCAGTTGTGGTGGATTGTTCTGTTGAAGTTGATAGGGTGGTCACTTCCTTTGTTGTGGTTGCCTGTGGAGTGGTAGTTGTCAATTCTGTATTGGCTGTCTGTGTTGTTGGTGCAGTTGTGGTGGATTGTTCTGTTGATGTCAATAGGGTGGTGACTTCCTTTGTTGTAGTTGCCTGCGGAGTGGTAGTTGTCAATTCTGAAGTGGCTGTTGTAGGGGCAGTTGTGGTGGATTGTTCTGTTGAAGTTGATAGGGTGGCGCCTTCCTTTGTTGTGGTTGCCTGCGGAGTGGTAGTTGTTAATTCTGTAGTGGCTGTCTGTGTTGTAGGTGCAGTTGTTGTGGATTGTGCTGTTGAAGTTGATATGGTTGTGACTTCCTTTGTTGTGGTTGCCTGCGGAGTGGTAGTTGTCAATTCTGAAGTGGCTGTTGTAGGTGCAGTTGTGGTGGATTGTTCTGTTGAAGTTGATAGGGTGGTGACTTCCTTTGTTGTGGTTGCCTGCGGAGTGGTAGTTGTCAATTCTGTAGTGGCTGTCTGTGTTGGAGGTGCAGTTGTGGTGGATTGTTCTGTTGAAGTTGATAGGGTGGTGACGTCCTTTGTTGTGGTTGCCTGCGGAGTTTTAGTTATCAATTCTGTAATGGCTGTCTGTGTTGTTGGTGCAGTTGTGGTGGATTGTTCTGTTGAAGTTGATAGGGTGGTGACTTCCTTTGTTGTGGTTGCCTGCGGAGTGGTTGATGTCAATTCTGTAGTGGCTGTTGTAGGTGCAGTTGTGGTGGATTGTTCTGTTGACGTTGATGGGGTGGTGACTTCTTTTGTTGTGGTTTCCTGCGGAGTGGTAGTTGTCAATTCTGTAGTGGCTGTCTGTGTTGTTGGTGCAGTTGTGGTGGATTGTTCTGTTGATGTCAATAGGGTGGTGACTTCCTTTGTTGTAGTTGCCTGCGGAGTGGTAGTTGTCAATTCTGAATTGGCTGTTGTAGGTGCAGTTGTGGTGGATTGTTCTGTTGATGTCAATAGAGTGGTGACTTCCTTTGTTGTGGTTGCCTGCGGAGTGGTAGTTGTCAATTCTGTAGTGGCTGTCTGTGTTGTAGGTGCAGTTGTGGTGGATTGTTCTGTTGAATTTGATAGTGTAGTGACTTCCTTTGTTGTGGTTGCCTGCGGAGTTGTAGTTGTCAATTCTGTAGTGGCTGTCTGTGTTGTAGGTGCAGTTGTGGTGGATTGTTCTGTTGAAGTTAAAAGGGTGGAGACTTCCTTTGTTGTGGTTGCCTTAGGAGTGGTTGATGTCAATTCTGTAGTGGCTGTCTGTGTTGTTGATGCAATTGTGGTGGATTGTTCTGTTGATGTCGATAGGGTGGTGACTTCCTTTGTTGTAGTTGCCTGCGGAATGGTAGTTGTCAGTTCTGTAGTGGCTGTTGTAGGTGCAGTTGTGGTGGATTGTTCTGTTGACGTTGATGGGGTGGTGACTTCCTTTGTTGTGGTTTCCTGCGGAGTGGTAGTTGTCAATTCTGTAGTGGCTGTCTGTGTTGTTGGTGCAGTTGTGGTGGATTGTTCTGTTGATGTCAATAGGGTGGTGACTTCCTTTGTTGTAGTTGCCTGCGGAGTGATAGTTGTCAATTCTGAATTGGCTGTTGTAGGTGCAGTTGTGGTGGATTGTTCTGTTGAAGTTGATAGGGTGGTGACTTCCTTTGTTGTAGTTGCCTGCGGAGTGGTAGTTGTCAATTCTGTAGTGGCTGTCTGTGTTGTAGGTGCAGTTGTGGTGGATTGTTCTGTTGAATTTGATAGTGTAGTGACTTCCTTTGTTGTGGTTGCCTGCGGAGTTGTGGTTGTCAATTCTGTAGTGGCTGTCTGTGTTGTAGGTGCAGTTGTGGTGGATTGTTCTGTTGAAGTTAAAAGGGTGGAGACTTCCTTTGTTGTGGTTGCCTGTAGTGTGGTAGTTGTCAATTCTGTAGTGGCTGTCTGTGTTGTAGGTGCAGTTGTGGTGGATTGTTCTGTTGAAGTTGATAGGGTGGTGACTTCCTCTGTTGTGGTTGCCTGCAGAGTGGTAGTTGTCAATTCTGTAGTGGCTGTCTGTGTTGTTGATGCAGTTGTGGTGGATTGTTCTGTTGATGTCGATAGGGTGGTGACTTCCTTTGTTGTAGTTGCCTGCGGAGTGATAGTTGTCAATTCTGAAGTGGCTGTTGTAGGGGCAGTTGTGGTGGATTGTTCTGTTGAAGTTGATAGGGTGGCGCCTTCCTTTGTTGTGGTTGCCTGCGCAGTGGTAGTTGTTAATTCTGTAGTGGCTGTCTGTGTTGTAGGTGCAGTTGTTGTGGATTGTGCTGTTGAAGTTGATAGGGTTGTGACTTCCTTTGTTGTGGTTGCCTGCGGAGTGGTTGTTGTCAATTCTGAAGTGGCTGTTGTAGGTGCAGTTGTGGTGGATTGTTCTGTTGAAGTTGATAGGGTGGTGACTTCCTTTGTTGTGGTTGCCTGCGGAGTGGTAGTTGTCAATTCTGTAGTGGCTGTCTGTGTTGTAGGTGCAGTTGTGGTGGATTGTTCTGTTGATGTCAATAGGGTGGTGACTTCCTTTATTGTAGTTGCCTGCGGAGTGGTAGTTGTCAATTCTGTAGTGGCTGTTGTAGGTGCAGTTGTGGTGGATTGTTCTGTTGAAGTTGATAGGGTGGTCACTTCCTTTGTTGTGGTTGCCTTAGGAGTGGTTGATGTCAATTCTGTAGTGGCTGTCTGTGTTGTAGGTGCAGTTGTGGTGGATTGTTCTGTTGAAGTTAAAAGGGTGGAGACTTCCTTTGTTGTGGTTGCCTTAGGAGTGGTTGATGTCAATTCTGTAGTGGCTGTCTGTGTTGTTGATGCAATTGTGGTGGATTGTTCTGTTGATGTCGATAGGGTGGTGACTTCCTTTGTTGTAGTTGCCTGCGGAATGGTAGTTGTCAGTTCTGTAGTGGCTGTTGTAGGTGCAGTTGTGGTGGATTGTTCTGTTGACGTTGATGGGGTGGTGACTTCCTTTGTTGTGGTTTCCTGCGGAGTGGTAGTTGTCAATTCTGTAGTGGCTGTCTGTGTTGTTGGTGCAGTTGTGGTGGATTGTTCTGTTGATGTCAATAGGGTGGTGACTTCCTTTGTTGTAGTTGCCTGCGGAGTGATAGTTGTCAATTCTGAATTGGCTGTTGTAGGTGCAGTTGTGGTGGATTGTTCTGTTGAAGTTGATAGGGTGGTGACTTCCTTTGTTGTAGTTGCCTGCGGAGTGGTAGTTGTCAATTCTGTAGTGGCTGTCTGTGTTGTAGGTGCAGTTGTGGTGGATTGTTCTGTTGAATTTGATAGTGTAGTGACTTCCTTTGTTGTGGTTGCCTGCGGAGTTGTGGTTGTCAATTCTGTAGTGGCTGTCTGTGTTGTAGGTGCAGTTGTGGTGGATTGTTCTGTTGAAGTTAAAAGGGTGGAGACTTCCTTTGTTGTGGTTGCCTGTAGTGTGGTAGTTGTCAATTCTGTAGTGGCTGTCTGTGTTGTAGGTGCAGTTGTGGTGGATTGTTCTGTTGAAGTTGATAGGGTGGTGACTTCCTCTGTTGTGGTTGCCTGCAGAGTGGTAGTTGTCAATTCTGTAGTGGCTGTCTGTGTTGTTGATGCAGTTGTGGTGGATTGTTCTGTTGATGTCGATAGGGTGGTGACTTCCTTTGTTGTAGTTGCCTGCGGAGTGATAGTTGTCAATTCTGAAGTGGCTGTTGTAGGGGCAGTTGTGGTGGATTGTTCTGTTGAAGTTGATAGGGTGGCGCCTTCCTTTGTTGTGGTTGCCTGCGCAGTGGTAGTTGTTAATTCTGTAGTGGCTGTCTGTGTTGTAGGTGCAGTTGTTGTGGATTGTGCTGTTGAAGTTGATAGGGTTGTGACTTCCTTTGTTGTGGTTGCCTGCGGAGTGGTTGTTGTCAATTCTGAAGTGGCTGTTGTAGGTGCAGTTGTGGTGGATTGTTCTGTTGAAGTTGATAGGGTGGTGACTTCCTTTGTTGTGGTTGCCTGCGGAGTGGTAGTTGTCAATTCTGTAGTGGCTGTCTGTGTTGTAGGTGCAGTTGTGGTGGATTGTTCTGTTGATGTCGATAGGGTGGTGACTTCCTTTGTTGTAGTTGCCTGCGGAGTGGTAGTTGTCAATTCTGTAGTGGCTGTTGTAGGTTCAGTTGTGGTGGATTGTTCTGTTGAAGTTGATAGGGTGGTGACTTCCTCTGTTGTGGTTGCCTGCAGAGTGGTAGTTGTCAATTCTGTAGTGGCTGTCTGTGTTGTTGATGCAGTTGTGGTGGATTGTTCTGTTGATGTAAATAGGGTAGTGACTTCCTTTGTTGTAGTTGCCTGAGGAGTGGTAGTTGTCAATTCTAAAGTGGCTGTTGTTGGGGCAGTTGTGGTGGATTGTTCTGTTGAAGTTGATAGGGTGGCGCCTTCCTTTGTTGTGGTTGCCTGCGGAGTGGTATTTGTCAATACTGTAGTGGTGGTGTTTGTTGTATTTTGTTGAGTCGAGGCTGTGAAAAGACAGTATAAAGATCAACAAGCATCATATTAAATATGCAATGGCTCCAAACACCTTCCCTCTTTTCATTATTTCATGATTGGAGAGTCAATTTTTTCAAGAAGACTTATTTGCAATGGTGACCTGGTTCACGAAGTGGAAAACGTTTCCGTTTAAGTCAGTCTTATATTTGCAGAGTTGATGTATATACATGGAATGTAGGTGCTCCCCAAGGAAAATATTAACATGTAAAAACAGATCAGTAGAGTGCATCAGGGGACACAGTAAGGACAATGGACCATGCCTATAGAAATAATTAACGAAGGGTGTTTGCAATGAAAGTGCAAAAAGGTGGATAGGGGATTTAAGGAATACCACCAAAAGATATAGATTTATGGGAAAGAGGAAAATTGGAAAGAGGTTATCCTGCATAAGAGGGTGGAAGTCAAACCCGGAGGTCTCTAGGGAAGGAAAGGCTGGTCGTCACAACCATGTACATGCCCTACAGGTGTTCCTATTAGTTATGTTGGAATAATCAAGTTCCCTTACCAGGCCGACT